ATGATGCTTTTCTGTGCACAAAATTGACACTTTCAGTGGGCTGCAGAAAACAATATGAAGTTCAACGATGAGAAATTTCAATTACTCAGATATGGTAAACACGAGGAAATTAAATCTTCATCAGAGTACAAAACAAATTCTGGCCACAAAATAGAGCGAAACACCAATGTCAAAGACCTGGGAGTGATCATGTCGGAGGATCTCACCTTCAAGGACCAAAACATTGTATCAATCGCATCTGCTAGAAAAATGACAGGATGGATAATGAGAACCTTCAAAACTAGGGAGGCCAAGCCCATCATTACACTCTTCAGGTCACTTGTTCTATCTAGGCTGGAATATTGCTGCACACTAACAGCACCTTTCAAGCAGTGAAATTGCTGACCTAGGAAATGTACAGAGAACCTTCACGGCGCGCATAAAGGAGATAAAACACCTCAATTATTTGGAGTGCTTGAGGTTCCTGAACCTGTATTCCCTGGAACGCAGGCTGGAGAGATACATGATTATATACACCTGGAAAATCCTAGAGGGACTAGTACCGAACTTGCACACGAAAATCACTCACTACGAAAGCAAAAGACTTGGCAGACGATGCACCATCCCCCCAATGAAAAGCAGGGGTGTCACTAGCACGTTAAGAGACCATACAATAAGTGTCAGGGGCCCGAGACTGTTCAACTGCCTCCCAGCACACATAAGGGGGATTACCAACAGACCCCTGGCAGTCTTCAAGCTGGCACTGGACAAGCACCTAAAGTCAGTTCCTGATCAGCCGGGCTGTGGCTCGTACGTTGGTTTGCGTGCAGCCAGCAGCAACAGCCTGGTTGATCAGGCTCTGATCCACCAGGAGGTCTGGTCACAGACCGGGCCGCGGGGGCGTTGACCCCCGGAACTCGTAAACTCTCCAGGTAAACTAAGCCATACACTAACATGTGAAAACACTGAGAGGAATTAATTAACATGACATATATCTTCTCTCAATCTTCTCGATAATACTGTATTAATTACTGAAGCACTCGATGTGACATCATGTGATGTCAGGCATGACGTCGCGAGGTGACGTCAGCAGCATTTTGACGTCAGCAGACGTCTTGAGGCGACGTCAGGCAGACATCGTGATGTCATGAAGTTGGGCAGCAGCAGACCACAGTATGCAGCCTGGTACATCTGGCTTGGTAACCCACGTGGCTTGTAGATCCACGTGACATTGTCCACACCCCACATGGTGTAGGGATCCACATGGCATCATGTTCTACATGGCTTGCTGATCCACGTAGCTTCGAGTGGCCTCAGACACTTGGATACACAGCTCTGGCAATGAATTCACACGGAAAACAGCAGAAAACACAGCAGAGGGAGTGATGGCATGGTGGTGTATGGTAGGTTGGTGAGGTGTGAGTGTACAGCAGGGCAAGCGTGGGCGAAGCAAGGAATGGCCACTTCCTCATCTTCTCCCACAAACACAGAGACATGCACAATGAATGCAGAAATCACCACAAAATTCACCTCTGGCTTTCTGAAATAGCTGTGCTGAGCTGAACAACAACAGCAGAACATACAAGTGACACTGAACATGTGACTTGAAAAACAGCGTGGGAAGCTGTAGCGTGGGGTCACTTACAATTCTCAAAGAAATTCGGTCAATTTCAGCTAGATCCTGCTTGTACCTGTGTCTGGACGCTGAAACGTGCAGACAAGACATCAGGATAACTCGTTTAGTGATGGATGCTTATTGTGTAGGGTGATGAAGTGAACAACTTCATCCCTTCCTCTCTCCGGGCAAACACAACTTGCTGCGACCTCCGTTTCCCACCAGTGTGAACGAGATTTTTTGGTGATGCTGCAAGCGGAATGGGGTTCAATGATAAACATCTTCGGAGGCTTCTTACTTTATTTGCAAAGTCGTGGTGGGTACACAGTCTTGTGTGTTTGTGCCCATGGCCCGGTAGGGCCATGCCCACGAGGAAGAGGGAGTAAGCTTGTTGATTGCTTCTAGGCCGCTGAGTGAGTGAGTCAGGGCGAGTGGGACCAGCGTCCCACTGACCTGGGCTGGCCTGGAGAGGGCAGCACCTGAGTGCTGAAAATATGAACTAAGCTGGCAGACAGCATAGGCTGTCTGTGCAGACAGTACAGGCTGTCTACATAAGCGCCCAAACTTATTTGAGTCTAGCTCCATGGTAAAGTACTGTGGACTCTGATACAGAGTTAGCAGGTTCGAGTCCTGCTGTGAATGTAGAGACAATGTTAGTAAATAATTTCGCCTATTTGCAAATTGCTAAGCACACCTTTATAAATGTTGGTAACACTATCCTCCTAAAAGTTCTGTTTTGCCTCCATGCATAACGTGCCTTGTCGCCACAGACGCCTCAATGTATCACCCAACTCCTTCAAGTTACAAACCAAATTGTCTTTCTACTAATGATCACCTAAAATCTTGATGATCAAACTTTAATTTCTTTACTTTCATACTACTTTTCCTTCCCATCTACAATATTGCTTTAAATTCCAGTGTCGTACATCACCTAACAGAGAACTTTCCTCTCACTGGTCTCACTCTACTGTTTCCAAACACCAACGCCCTCCATAATGAAGTTGCCTAAACATTCTACAAGTGAACTATAATCAACAACTTCATGGTTTGTTATCTATTTTACACATTTCCTTAACTCTAATACCATTCTTTTACATGCACTGTTATAACTACTTCCCAAAGAGATTTCTTAAGGATTGCCACAACAGACAAGCCTGGAAAAACATCCTAATATAAATGGCATATTTAATTGCTCCCATGTATTCTACCTTTGCTTTCAGTATCACAAAATGTAATTAAATGGTAAGCAATACTTACAATAACAATTCTTCAGATTACAAATCGCGCTGTGGTCCTAAGTTCATTCTGTTAAGCACTTTTAAGTCATCCAAAATAAATATTTTTGCTCACTGGCAGTAGTCTCTGCATTCTATTTGTTAGGAAGTTATAGAATCCCTTGAGGGATTAGTACCAAACTTACACACGAAAGACACTCCCTATGAAAACAAAACTCGGCAGACGATGCAACATCCCCCCAATGAAAAGCAGGGGTATCACTAGCACGTTAGGAAACAACACAATAATTGTCAGGGGCCGAAGACTGTTCAACTGCCTCCCAGCATACATAAGGGGGATTACCAATAGACCCCTGGCAGTCTTCAAGCAGGCACTGGACAGGCACCTAAAGTCGGTACCTCACCAGCCAGGCTGTGGTTCGTACGTTGGATTGCGTCCAGACAGCAGTAACAGCCTGGTTGATCAGGCCCTGATTCACCATGAGACCTGATCACAGACCGCGCCGTGGGGGCGTTGATCCCCAGAACTCTCTCCAGGTAAACTCCAAGTAAACCTACTTAATTGTTATTCGTCTATCACTCGTTTTGTGCACTAATGCACCACGATCACACTTGTCAAAGGCTTTTGCAAAGTCTGTGTATACTGCATCTCATTTTTTTACATTTGTCCTCCAGAGCTTCCAGTGGTCCAGTAACTGTGAGAGGCATGAACAACATGCTCTAAACCCATGCTACCCTGAGTTGTTCAACTGATGGGTACCCAACTGGGTGCGATCTTGCATCTTAGAATCCTTTCAAATATGAGACATGGGACGTTAGTGCTGTCACTACAGCCATTGTGGAGTGAGGCTGTGTCTATGTCTGTGGTTTTAAGTGACTGAGGGATGATACCTGTGTCAATGCTACCTCTCCATAGAATATTTAAGGCACGTGAAACAGGTTTCTTGCAGATCTTGATGAACACAGAGTTCCACGAGTCTGGGAATGGGGCAGAGTGCATGGGCATGTGAGTTATTGCTTTTTCAAAGTTGTGTGGTGTTAGCATAATATCAGAAATTCTTGAATTAACTAAATTTTGAGTCTCAGTGGTAAAAAAAATATTTAGATTGTTGACCTTTAGTCTGATTAATGATTCACTAAACACTGAGTCAAATTGGGACTTCAGTTTTTCACTCATTTCTTTGCTGTTATCTGTGTAAGTCCCATCTTGTTTATGCTGGGGCCAAATACTGAATGTGGTTTTTTCCCTAGATTTGGCATAACAAAACAAGAGCTTTAAGTTTTTCCTATGTTTCTTGCATCCTAAATCCTAAATGATATTTGCTATTTCAATGACCAATGCCTCCTTTTGTATTTAAGATATACTGGACCCTTTCAGCAGCTCAGTGATTCTTCGTCTTCGCCTGTAGAGGGAGCGTCTCTCTCTTTCTAGTTTACATCTTCACTTCTTTTGTTTTAAATGAATGTGCATTGAGTATACCTCAAGTGTCATAGAGTTAATTCTTTATAGACAAAGGTTTAGATTCATGTTCTTTAGGATATCTTCCCAGCTTGTTTCATTTAGGACATGGTTGATTTGATTTCCACTATAGTGGAAGGAATGTGGGGTAGGGATTGTCCTTGGAAAGGTTGGAGGGATGGGGTGAAAGAGGTTTTGTGTATGAGGGGCTTGGACTTCCAGCAATTGTGTGTGAGTGGGTTAAATAGAAGTGAGTGGAGGCAGGTACTTTTTTTTATGATTTGATGTACTGTTGGAGTGTTAGCAAAATAAAGGATTCAGGGAAACAGGTTAGTCGGACTTGAGTCCTGAAGGTGGGAATTCAGTGCCTGCACTCTGAAGGAAGGCTGGAGATATGCCGCATGTGCAGCTCTCTACCACTGAGCTACAGGGCTTCTAATAGAGAAGTTTCTTAGACAGCACTGTTGTGTCATGTGTGAATCAGATTCACCATCTGTGACCCAATTGACCATTCTCATAGTCCCAGTAACCACATGACAGATCTAATCTCATACCTCTCAAACTCTATGGATTCGAGATAAATCATAATAAAAGGCTGTCAATGAATGAACAGAAGAAATGGCCTGGGATTCGAACCGTAGTCCTGTATAATAGCTGTTCCAATGCTCTCTGATTTAAAATTTAAATAAATAACTATAGAACATGTACTAACCTGTCTAATTTTATATCTGTCGAGCATAAAACTAGATAAATAAGTAATAAGTATAACACAGAATTGTGAGAGAGAGGTTGAGCGAACATTACGCATCATTCAGTTGTCCTGTAAAGTGTTTGAAACAATATGAACAGAGCAAACTTTTAAATGAAACACTGAAGACCAAAGAACCTAAGAATTTGTATTGTATCAGCAAGATGTGATTGATTTACTCTGCTGTTGCTGAAGGCTTTCTGTGCAGCATACCTTGGTCACATGATCATCCTGTCTGGCATACCTTGGTCAAATGATCATCCTGTCTGGCATACCTTGGTCACATGATCATCCTCTCTGGCATACCTTGGTCACATGATCATCCTGTCTGGCATACCTTGGTCACATGATCATCCTGTCTGGCATACCTTGGTCACATGATCATCCTGTCTGGCATACCTTGGTCACATGATCATCCTGTCTGACATACCTTTGGTCACATGATCATCCTGTCTGACATACCTTGGTCAACATGATCATCCTGTCTGGCATACCTTGGTCACATGATCATCCTGTCTGGCATACCTTGGTCACATGATCATCCTGTCTGGCATACCTTTGGTCACTGATCATCCTGTCTGGCATACCTTGGTCACAAGATCATCCTGTCTGGCATACCTTGGTCACATGATCATCCTCTCTGGCATACCTTGGTCACATGATCATCCTCTCTGGCATACCTTGGTCACATGATCATCCTGTCTGGCATACCTTGGTCACATGATCATCCTGTTTGGCATACCCTGGTCACATGATCATCCTCTCTGGCATAACCTTGGTCAAAATGATCATCCTGTCTGGCATACCTTGGTCACATGATCATCCTGTCTGGCATACCTTGGTCACATGATCATCCTGTCTGGCATTCCTTGGTCTCATGATCATCGTGGGCTGGCATACCTTGGTCACATGATCATCTCCTCTGGCATACCTTGGTCACATGATCATCCTGTCTGGCATACCTTGGTCTCATGATCATCCTGTCTGGCATACCTTGGTCACATGATCATCCTGTCTGGCATACCTTGGTCACATGATCATCCTGTCTGGCATCCCTTGGTCACTTTATCATCCTCTCTGGCATACCTTGGTCACATGATCATCCTGTCTGGCATACCTTGGTCACATGATCATCCTGTCTGGCATACCTTGGTCACATGATCATCCTGTCTGGCATACCTTGGTCTCATGATCATCCTGTCTGGCATACCTTGGTCACATGATCATCCTGTCTGGCATACCTTGGTCACATGATCATCCTGTCTGGCATACCTTTGGTCACATGATCATCCTGTCTGGCATACCTTGGTCACATGATCATCCTGTCTGGCATACCTTGGTCACATGATCATCCTGTCTGGCATCCCTTGGTCACATGATCATCCTGTCTGGCATACCTTGGTCACATGATCATCCTGTCTGGCATACCTTGGTCACATGATCATCCTCTCTGGCATACCTTGGTCACATGATCATCCTGTCTGGCATACCTTGGTCACATGATCATCCTGTTTGGCATACCCTGGTCACATGATCATCCTCTCTGGCATACCTTGGTCACATGATCATCCTGTCTGGCATACCTTGGTCACATGATCATCCTGTCTGGCATACCTTGGTCACATGATCATCCTGTCTGGCATACCTTGGTCTCATGATCATCATGTCTGGCATACCTTGGTCACATGATCATCCTCTCTGGCATACCTTGGTCACATGATCATCCTGTCTGGCATACCCTTGGTCCTCATGATCATCCTGTCTGGCATACCTTGGTCACATGATCATCCTGTCTGGCATACCTTGGTCACATGATCATCCTGTCTGGCATCCCTTGGTCACATGATCATCCTCTCTGGCATACCTTGGTCACATGATCATCCTGTCTGGCATACCTTGGTCACATGATCATCCTGTCTGGCATACCTTGGTCACATGATCATCCTGTCTGGCATACCTTGGTCTCATGATCATCCTGTCTGGCATACCTTGGTCACATGATCATCCTGTCTGGCATACCTGGTCACATGATCATCCTGTCTGGCATACCCTTGGTCACATGATCATCCTGTCTGGCATACCTTGGTCTCATTTATCATCCTGTCTGGCATACCTTGGTCACATGATCATCCTGTCTGGCATACCTTGGTCACATGATCATCCTCTCTGGCATACCTTGGTCACATGATCATCCTGTCTTTGGGATACCTTGGTCACATGATCATCCTGTCTGGCATACCTTGGTCCCCATGATCATCCTGTCTGGCATACCTTGGTCACATGATCATCCTGTCTGGCATACCTTGGTCACATGATCATCCTGTCTGGCATACCTTGGTCTCATGATCATCCTGTCTGGCATACTTGGTCACATGACATCCTGTCTGGCATACCTTGGTCACATGATTTATCCTGTCTGGCATACCTTGGTCTCATGATCATCCTGTCTGGCATACCTTGGTCACATGATCATCCTGTCTGGCATACCTTGGTCACATGATCATCCTGTCTGGCATACCTTGGTCACATGATCATCCTGTTTGGCATACCCTGGTCACATGATTATCCTGTCTGGCATACCTTGGTCTCATGATCATCCTGTCTGGCATACCTTGGTCACATGATCATCCTGTCTGGCATACCTTGGTCACATGATCATCCTGTCTGGCATACCTTGGTCTCATGATCATCCTGTCTGGCATACCTTGGTCACAAGATCATCCTGTCTGGCATACCTTGGTCACATGATCATCCTCTCTGGCATACCTTGGTCACATGATCATCCTCTCTGGCATACCTTGGTCACATGATCATCCTGTCTGGCATACCTTGGTCACATGATCATCCTGTTTGGCATACCCTGGTCACATGATCATCCTCTCTGGCATACCTTGGTCACATGATCATCCTGTCTGGCATACCTTGGTCACATGATCATCCTCTCTGGCATACCTTGGTCACATGATCATCCTCTCTGGCATACCTTGGTCTCATGATCATCCTCTCTGGCATACCTTGGTCACATGATCATCCTCTCTGGCATACCTTGGTCTCATGATCATCATGTCTGGCATACCTTGGTCACATGATCATCCTCTCTGGCATACCTTGGTCACATGATCATCCTGTCTGGCATACCTTGGTCTCATGATCATCCTGTCTGGCATACCTTGGTCACATGATCATCCTGTCTGGCATACCTTGGTCACATGATCATCCTGTCTGGCATACCCTTGGTCAATGATCATCCTTCTCTGGCATACCTTGGTCACATGATCATCCTGTCTGGCATACCTTGGTCACATGATCATCCTGTCTGGCATACCTTGGTCACATGATCATCCTGTCTGGCTACCTTGTCTCATTGATCATCCTGTCTGGCATACCTTGGTCACATGATCATCCTGTCTTGGCATACCTTGGTCACATGATCATCCTGTCTGGCATACCTTGGTCACATGATCATCCTGTCTGGCATACCTTGGTCTCATGATCATCCTGTCTGGCATACCTTGGTCACATGATCATCCTGTCTGGCATACCTTGGTCACATGATCATCCTCTCTGGCATACCTTGGTCACATGATCATCCTCTCTGGCATACCTTGGTCACATGATCATCCTCTCTGGCATACCTTGGTCACATGATCATCCTGTCTGGCATACCTTGGTCACATGATCATCCTCTCTGGCATACCTTGGTCACAATGATCGTCCTCTCTGGCATAACCTTGGTCACATGATCATCCTCTCTGGCTTACCTTGGTCACATGATCATCCTGTCTGGCATACCTTGGTCACATGATCATCCTGTCTGGCATACCTTGGTCACATGATCATCCTGTCTGGCATACCTTGGTCACATGATCATCCTGTCTGGCATCCTTGGTCACATGATCATCCTGTCTGGCATACCTTGGTCACATGATCATCCTGTCTGGCATACCTTGGTCACATGATCATCCCGTCTGGCATACCTTTGGTCACATGATCATCCTGTCTGGCATACCTTGGTCACATGATCATCCTCTCTGGCATACCTTGGTCACATGATCATCCTCTCTGGCATACCTTGGTCACATGATCATCCTCTCTGGCATTACCTTGGTCACATGATCATCCTGTCTGGCATACCTTGGTCACATGATCATCCTGTCTGGCATACCTTGGTCACATGATCATCCTGTCTGGGATACCTTGGTCTCATGAAACATCCTGTCTGGCATACCTTGGTCCTCATGATCATCCTGTCTGGATACCTTGGTCACATGTCATCCTGTCTGGCATACCTTGGTCACATGATCATCCTGTCTGGCATACCTTGGTCACATGATCATCCTGTCTGGCATACCTTGGTCTCATGATCATCCTGTCTGGCATACCTTGGTCACATGATCATCCTGTCTGGCATACCTTGGTCACATGATCCATCCTGTCTGGCATACCTTGGTCACATGATCATCCTGTCTGGCATACCTTGGTCACATGATCATCCTGTCTGGCATACCTTGGCACATGATCATCCTGTCTGGCATACCTTGGTCTCATGATCATCCTGTCTGGCATACCTTGGTCACATGATCATCCTGTTTTGGCATACCTTGGTCACATGATCATCCTGGTCTGGCATAACCTTGGTCTCATGATCATCCTGTCTGGCATACCTTGGTCACATGATCATCCTGTCTGGCATACCTTTGGGCACATGATCATCCTGTCTGGCATACCTTGGTCACATGATCATCCTGTCTGGCATACCTTGGTCACATGATCATCCTGTCTGGCATACCTTGGTCTCATGATCATCCTGTCTGGCATACCTTGGTCACATGATCATACCTCTCTGGCATACCTTGTCACATGATCATCCTCTCTGGCATACCTTGGTCACATGATCATCCTGTCTGGCATACCTTGGTCACATGATCATCCTGTCTGGCATATCTTGGTCTCATGATCATCTGTCTGGCATACCTTGGTCACATGATCATCCTGTCTGGCATTACCTTGGTCACATGATCATCCTGTCTGGCATACCTTGGTCACATGATCATCCTGTCTGGCATACCTTGGTCACATGATCATCCTGTCTGGCATACCTTGGTCTTCATGATCATCCTGTCTGGCATACCTGGTCACATGATCATCCTGTCTGGCATACCTTGGTCACATTGATCATCCTGTCTGGCATACCTTGGTCTCATGATCATCCTGTCTGGCATACCTTGGTCACATGATCATCCTGTCTGGCATACCTTGGTCTCATGATCATCCTGTCTGGCATTACCTTGGTCACATGATCATCCTGTTCTGGCATACCTTGGTCTCATGATCATCCTGTCTGGCATACCTTGGTCACTTGATCATCCTGTCTGGCATACCTTGGTCACATGATCATCCTGTCTGGCATACCTTGGTCACATGATCATCCTGTCTGGCATACCTTGGTCTCATGATCATCCTGTCTGGCATACCTTGGTCACATGATCATCCTGTCTGGCATACCCTTTGGGCTCATGGATCATCCTGTCTGGCATACCTTGGTCACATGATCATCCTGTCTGGCATACCTTGGTCACATGATCATCCTGTCTGGCATACCTTGGTCACATGATCATCCTGTCTGACATACCTTGGTCACATGATCATCCTGTCTGACATACCTTGGTCACATGATCATCCTGTCTGGCATACCTTGGTCTCATGATCATCCTGTCTGGCATACCTTGGTCACATGATCATCCTGTCTGGCATACCTTGGTCACATGATCATCCTGTCTGGCATACCTTGGTCACATGATCATCCTGTCTGGCATACCTTGGTCACATGAACATCTTACATATACACATACACCATTATATATTTATTACACAATATATCACACAACATCAATATATCACCAGTATATCCTGCACGAAAAAATAAAACAAAAATAGGAAACACAGAGGTGTTTGCTGTAAATGGAGAAGTGTTACCATTAAACTGGAAAAGCACTCATGTAGAACTCAAGATAATTATTAAAGGAAAATTTTCACCCCAAGTGACTTTTTTCAGTTATTAGCACTGATAAATCCACTAACTGCAGAATGTTTAACTTGATGTTTTCAACTGTTAAAGAAAAGAGTAATAGGAGGCAAGTGATTTTTTTATAATTTGATGAAGTGTGAGAAAGGTAATATTTATGATGTAAGTCTGGGAAACTGGTTAGCCAGACTTGGTTCCTACAAGTTGACTGCATGCTGAAGGAGAGATGGGGATGCTGCAGTTCAGAGAGTCATCTGAGTTGTGAGGTCAGCACTCTTCAGAGAAGAGAATAATTGAAGAAATAATGGTGAAAACATTTCTTTATCCTACCTCTGTGGTAGGAATGTTAAAATTATTATTATTATTATTATTATTATTATTATTATTATTATTATTATTATTATTATTATTATTATTATTATTATTGTCATTATAGTTGTTGTTGTTGTTTTTATTATTACTGCATTAGAATTTTTGTTACAGTAGACCGTTATATTACACTGTAGTTGGGTTCCTGAAAATGCTGTGTTAGGTAAATCCGTTAGACAAACTGAAGAACTTATGGGAAAATAGGGTTACGTTCCGGGGAGCCCAAAAAAAGCCAAACAACTTTTTTTTAGACCTCCAGATCTAACAAAAATAAAAGTGAATATGTAATTGTAGTTCATTGTTGTGATACACTATGTTGTTTTTTACTGCATAAGACTTCAAATACAACATAAATAATAGTATTTCTTACCTTAAATTGTGGGTACTGGTGTTTGTGGATGATTATGGAGAGTGGAGAGTTATACTGTGGCCCTAGTGTGCTGAGGTGGATGGTAGAGGTTCTCGTACTGAAGTTGATGGTTGTGCTGGAGTGTGCATAAATTCTGTAATGGATTTCTGTTCTATTTTACTCTGCAGTACATTATACAGCTGACAGTAAGGCATCAGCTACTCTTCAGTGAAAAAGTCTAAGTTTAAGTAAGTCACTCAGAAAATCAGTCAAGTCAGTAAATCAGTCAAGTCAGCAAGTCAAGTCAGTTAGTCAGTAAATCAGTCAAGTCAGTCAGTAAATCAGTCAAGTCAGTCAGTCAGTCAGTCAGTCAGTTATTCATCACATGATCTCATATATTTACTTCATTCTTTTTAATTGCACAAAGTGACGCTTCATTACGGCCACAAGCTATTTCGTCTAATATCTCTATTTTCTTCATTAACTCTAAGACTTAAGCATTTATACGTCTTCTTGCCACTTTCAGCAACACTGGTATGCCTACTGGGTGTCATGATTGCTTGGCAGATACAAGATATGATAATTAAAAGATCAAAACACAATTCACAATCACAGCTAGATCCTAAGACAGAGTGGAACTGAAGACTAATACACCACAATGTACATGGTTATAAATGACCATAATTTTTAAACAGGTGGACCGGTAAGCCAGCAGATGACCAAAGCTCCAAAGGAGGGTCATCATCTGACTAAGACCCGCATCAGGAAACATTTGTCTTGTTTCCTGACGAACCTTACCTAACCTAACCTAACTGAAGACTATTCATGAAGGCTGGGATGGTGGTAGCGGGAGTGTCGGGGACGGTGGGAGGTCTACCCCGCTTTCCAACAACTAGGCAGCAGCTTGAGACCTCCCCCACTGACCCACAACAAGGTGGCAGCTTGAGACCTCCCCCGCTGACCCACAACAAGGCAGCAGCTTGAGATCTCCACCGCCGACCCACAACAAGGCAGCAGCTTGAGCTGGGGAAATTTTTTCTGCGCCCACAAATGGAACCGTTTAAAGTTAATTTTATGAAGTGTATAAAATTGAGCTACAATTTTTCAATAGTGCAATAACCAAAACATGACAAGTAAATCAGTATAATATAACAGACTACTGTATAATAATTATTTTCTTATTATTAAATTTACTAAATTGTAGTAAACTCTCAGTGGTCATACATCACCACAGTTGGTTTAGGGAGGATCCGAATAAGGTGAGGGTATTACCAGTGCCTTGGATCAAGAGTCGTTCATCTGTGTTAGCGACTGCACTGAACGGTATACAAGAGCTTCAATGAAGAACTCACCCTCTTGGTGGTTGTAGCTCCTGGGCCACATCACAAGCATCGTTTACATTAGCATCAACAACATCACTCAGGTTAAGATGCACGCGCCGTGTTGTAGGTAGTGGGACCAAGACATCCGAAGACACTCCTGCTGGCACTCTCACACCTGTAGTCATACACCATTATGTCACTATCCTCCATGTCTCTCATCACACTCACTAAAAAACTATGAACATTATACCTCAATTGATATTCGATACCATCACCCCCTCAATGTCTCTCATCACAAATGTAACAAAATTATGAATAACAAACACACTTGTATTCATACATGAAGCTGTCATTTTTCCCCTAATTTTTCACCAAAATTGACAGTAACACCTAAACATTAAACAAACGGGTTAGCGTTCATTGAAAAATTGCCCTCTTTTAAAATTTTTTTTGATGTAAAAAATTTTAAAAATTTTTAGAAATTTAAAAAACTGGGTTGCCCTTTTTCCCTGTCTAATAAAAAAATGTTTTACGACTTAGGTTAAAAAAACTAAAGGCTTTGACAGGGAAAATTAAAATTATATATATGCACATATCAAAGTTTTTCTTTTTTTTTTTTCTTAAAATTTTCTTTTTCCTTCAGTATTTTTCCCTTTATTCTCCATCGGGAAGTGGAAAACAATTTTTTTCTTCCGAAAACCCATGCTGTCTTAGGGGAGGGCCCAAAAAGGGGCCGGGGGGCCAAAGGTTTTATTTAAACCCCTGCTCCGTAAAAAAACTACTAAAAAATGGACAAAAAGGAAAAATTTTAAAAAAAACTGTGAGGGTTTTAAAATTTTTTCGGGTTGTAGTTTGGGAATGATAAAAAAAGAAATGATTGCTAATTTTTATAATGAAAAAAAGGGAGGGAGTACTGACTCTAAGAAAAACCCATGCTGAAGGGGTTTAGAGGAGTTTAAGTGGGGGAGAAATAAAGGGGTTTAAAATAGGAATATCTGAGAGAGTTAGAGCTAAAAAAAGGGTAGAAATAATGTTGAAGGTTTCATTTTGGGGAAAATAGAAGAGGGAATTTTAAATGTTAAATTAAAGGATTATGGGGGTTTAAAAAATAAGTGGGTCATAAAAATTTGTATATGTACGGGGGAGAAGAGGGAGGGAGGGAGACAGATGCCCTTCGGGAAAAATTTTCCCTGAAAAACCATTGGGGGAGGGACATTTTCCCCTTTGGGCATTTAAAGACAGCGGGGATGATATTTTCCAATTGCAAAAACCCCAACAAAGACAACCCCCCAAACCGAAAAACTACACACCTTTTCCTTACGGGAAGTCCCCCGGGAAAAATTTTTAAAAAAGTTCCTCCAATAGATTAAAATTGCTATGGGGAGTTTAACCCAACTTCACGAAAAGCATTTGGGGCCCAAGACGCACTGGGAAACCCCAACACTTTATAAAAACCCATCTTCGTTGGGGGGGGTTAAATAGCCTGAAAAAAAAAGGTTTTTGGGGCCCTAATTGCAACTAGAAAACGTAAATAAGGGCCTTCGACACCCTGGGGACATGACGGGCCTCATATTAAAAATCTCCCAAACCACCCTAGACCATACTTGGCCTTTCCCCAGGTTAAAATACAATTTCTTACAGGGGGGAAAACAAAATCCCCACCTTCAAGGGCAAGCGGCAGAGCCCTTTCACACCGACACCCTGGAGTGCCACAGGGCTCGTGCCTCACCCCCAATACTCAAAAAATTTTTATTTTAAATGATCTCCCCCCATGAATTGCCGAAACCATCACCCCCCAAATTTGTTTGACGATGTCATCCACGGGTGTTTTCCCCCCTTTCACTTTGGGGGAAAAAAAAAAAAAGCATAGAAAAGGGGAATAGAGAAAATGAAAAGGGGGGGAAATACAAAGAACCCGGGCCCTTCGGAAAAGAAAAGGAGAATCACGGCCAATTCCCCGAAAAAGTCCCTCATAAACACCCCTCGGTTTTCCTTGCATCATCTATCGACCCAAAAAAAGAGGCCCTCTTTCCCTCAGAGGCACACCCGTCCCCATACAGGGGAAAACCCCCAAAAAAAGTCCCCGAATAAGAGATTGAAAGTTTTTTCCCCCTCCACCCTCTCACTTTTTCCCAAAAAAGTGAACCTAGCCAACTATTCAGGCTTACAAAGCCTCGTCCTCACATCAAGAAGCATTTACACATGATGATGATGATAAGACCTTTGCTTGAATATCCTTGTGTACCCATGTCACTAACAACAAAATCCAACATGTTAAGGCTACAAAGATTCCACAACAGAGCACTCCACTTTATTACGGGCACCAGAAGGAAAGAATCAGGATGGAAGATTTGTACATCCAACAAGGGATTGATGCAATATCAGGCAAGATAAACTAAACAAGAGGCAACTATACGACATGAAGGAACTTTATATACCAGACAGAGACAACCCAACACAACCAACAAACGCCACCGACTACATCAACCCTCCTCACCACAGAATACAAAGAATGACCTTCCAACAAAGAGCGAAGCCCTTCATCCACAAGGAGAACTTCCCGAGAACAATGATCCTGAGTGATCTCCCCGAAGAGACACAAGATTAGGTAACACCTGAACCATTCAATGGAACTGGAACTTGAACTGACTTGAGCGTCGGTAAGATGGGGAAGGAAGAAGGATGTGGTAGGATAGAAATATGGGAAAGGGTTGGGATGATGGAGGAGGAAGGGTAATAAAGGTGAGTGGCCCGTCCACTCTGGGCAAATTGTGCAGATACTGCAGGGAGTTGTGTCGGTGTGAGGTGTTCATGCGGCGTATTGAGTTGGGCTTCAGGTTTCAGGCAGGAGACGACTGGAAGGGTGACTGAAAAAAACAGGGTCGATTGGAGCCACACCCCAGCTTTAGCTAAATAGCAAAGTGCTGGGGGACTTTAGCTGTTGGTAGGTGGTGATTAGGTAATTGAACAGTTGTTGGAGCCATTGCAGACTGCGTTGAAACTGTTCTTGAGAGGTGCTGTGGAAATTTATTTGGTCCAAATAGTTCCACAGCTCAGATCCAGCATGAGCGTCTGGTCGTCTGAGCCGAGCGACCCTTAAACCCTCCCAAACAAGCAAGGCATTCTCTGGTTGGCGGTTGGTAAGCTTATTTAATTTATAGATTTACTCTTCAGGGAAGGAGTAGGTAGGTTTACTGGTAATACACTAATATTAGGTTTACTAAGGCATCTGTAGATAATGATAGAGTGACCTAAGACCTTAACATAGGTAGTAATAGGCCGATAATGTAGGCAAACATTAGGATAAGTTAGCTAGGGAGGAACTGGCAGCCCTAGCTGAATGGCGGGGCGCAGGTCACAAAGACAGAATAGCGTCCTTCTTACGATAGACTTCGACTGGACAAGACGTGCCGTGAACATCAGGCGGCGCCCCCACGTGTCTTCACATCTGAGACCTGGGGAAATCTGGTAGAGACACCTCGATGTACCGTAGATGATTCCTCCATCAGCCCATCACAGTAAGACGAGATATCACCCTTTCCCGTAGGATCTGGCCAGTGACTTAGGAGATCGTGAGTTGAGTTAACTGAGGGCTCGGCGTGCTACAGAGAGAGTATGCCCAGTAAGTACCAGCGTCTCAGAGTCGTCTGAAGCTAGCGTCTGAGTCTGCAAAGTTATACTAGGGGATACATACCCTCTTGGATATAGGAATTTCTGAGGTGCAGGCAGGACACTAATAACGATTGAATATTGCAGGAATTAATGCTCCCGGTTGCACGTGGTTCCCAAGGGGAAGTCCAAGGGGGCTAAAGCTAGGCTTAGGAAGTTGAAGATCAGGATATATGCTGCAACACCAAGTAAGTTAGTCCTTTATACGTGCATGCAGGCGAGGTTTCTTGCAATACCAATCATTTGTGAAAAAAATCTGTCCTATAAGCCACTTGTGAGGCTGAGGTACCCATCTCAGAGCTCGGTGTCAACAGAGTTTGCCAGGGTAGGCGACTCACTTGGAGGCAGCCCAGACAAATTTTCACAAAAGTGGTCCTTCGAAAACCGGATGTGGAATAGCTAGGTTAAGCTATCATAGCTAGGCCACAGTTAGGAACCAGTTTTACAGAGTTAGGTTTAAGCTATCATAGCTAGGCCACGTTAGGTTAAGCTATCATAGCTAGGCTACAGTTAAGAACCAGTTTAACAAAGTTAGGTTAAGCTATCATAGCTAGGCCACAGGTTAAGCTATCATAGCTAGGCCACAGTTAGGAACCAGTTTAAAAAAGTTAGGTTTAAGTTAGCACACCTAGGTCAAAGTTACTCAGAGGCTAGGCCAAGCTGACTATACACAGAAGTTGTTATTTGCAGTAATTTACAGGCAGGCCAGGTAGGCTAGAGAAGCTTGTGAATTTAATTATTTACAGTGATTACAAGTAATCCAGAGTAGGAGACTTGTGTGTTAATTACTTACAGTGGATTTGCAAGGTAGCCACAGTTAGGCTAGGCTTGTGCAATATTTACAAAAGGTTATAGTAGCTAGGACAGATTTAACCTAGTTATTATTTACAGGGAGTTATAAAGCCAGGTTTAAGTTATAGCACACTAGCTAGGTTAGGATTTACCTTATCCAACCATCCACGCTAAACAGAGTAAGCTGGGCACAGTTAGGCCAAGCTGTTTACATACATATTTATTTACTGTTTCACAAGTTGATTGTTGAATTTGCTTGTGTTAACCAAGTGATTTTAATTTGTATACTGCCCTATTAGTGTGTGATTTTCATTGTCTTTGATTCTGTTAATGTGGGATTTTGTGAATTATACCTGAGACTAGGTTAAGTCCCGTAATTAATTTGCTGGCATTGTACAGTTGAGTGCTAGATTAAGCTTTCACATCGATACACATTTTGATTGGGATTTGAGAGCTAACAGTGTACATTTTTGATTCATAGTAGAGTCAATATAACAAAGGGAATTGTTAAGCTTGTTGAGAAGCCTTAAGACTCGTTCATTCCTCACCTAACACCGTGACGTGCTGTGGGGTGGACTGGGTAAAGTACAATTAGTGTCACACTCCTCATTAAACTTCGACAATGGCAGATGGGGGTTCAGGAGAGTCTGGTTCAGTGCTAACAAAATTAAAACGATCAGTAGCAGCATACAAAGGGCATCTGAACAGAACGCG